GCAGGTCTGGTGTTGGTTTTGGAGGCTGAACTTAACAGCGCAGCTCCTGCTAACTCCCCAGGTGGAGCAGTACCAAGAGAATCACTCTACTTTGTTAGTGCAAGTGTGCCCAGTAGGGCATTTGCCAGCATAGCAATGGCAATCAGAGGTGGATCAAAAGGCAGTTTAAGCTCCTCATTAATGAGCACAAACAGGTAAACAACATACTAAGCATTAAGAAGCCAACCTTACCAACCATCTGCAGTTGGGCCACTCTCTCTCGAAACTTTAAACTTCAATATCTTAACACACAGAGCCTTCAGACAGGAAACCTCTAAGTTCAACATGTCCCCACAAGGGATTTTTCCGTGCTCCAAAAGGCCTCAACAGGTCTCAGACAATTCAGGGATTTAAATGACTGACACATCTGGGGATACTTGAGGAGAAAAGTTGTAATTGAACTAGTTGGCAAGCAGGCAACACAGTGTGAGGCAAGACCAGATAATGTGTAATTAAATTACCTGCAACAGCCTTCATCTAAAAAGCAAAGATGTAATCACAAGCCAGCCTTCATTTGAACCCACTGTAGAAATGGATCACTTGGTTCTCAGCATCACTTAGGTTTGAAAATACATGCTTCAGAGATGCAGAGTACATGAAGTACACTTGCTTCCTGCGCATCAATACATGAGGTCTACATTAGTTTGTCCCAAAAGCATGAGGCCTTTTCAAAGCTCACCCAAAAGGAGAGAGCTGCTGGCTGGAAGATGCACAAGCACAAACAGAGAAGAATTAAACAGGGCCTTGACATTTACAGGACTGAAAAGCAAATACTCCTCATGCCTCCAGTTGTTTGACAAATCACCTGTTCCTGAGAGCACACTATACAGCCATTTAGTGCTTCTGAAATGAGATTATGGAATAGTAACCGGTATCTAGATAATTAAGGGGTAGGATACAGACACAAGTTTACATGTTGGTATACATACACTCACATGTGCATGGACATGACTTAACTGTAATGGCCAGAGAGAACTTGTGAATAATCCTAAATGCCTTCAAATGTACCAACAAGCGTGTTGTTTATCCTTGGGGGAAGGAAACAAAGGAAATAAAAACAAAAGCAGAGAACAGTTCTGGAGCATAATCTATTTTCACCTGCATACTATTTTCTTTCTCTTTGCCTATGAAATCAGGTTACCTTAGTTACCACAAGCATTCAGGGCTCAAAGTCAAAGAAAGGTTAGTAATCCATCTTCTCCAACCATTCAAACATTCCTTATAGATCACAGCATCAGTTTTAAGGTCCAGTATCTTACTACCTGGCAGAGTTAGAAATGACCACTTCAGACAGTGCTGTTCCAGACAGCCTATGCATGGAACTCTCCATCAGGACAAGGCTTTCTTCCCTACTGTAATACAAAAATTCAGAGATTTGGAATAACAGCGGCAGCTTCCAGCTGGGACAAATTGGTAAGAGAAGTATCTATAACTAATAATAAAAGCCAAATGAAGTACATCTTGACCCATGGTTCCTGCAGATTCCACGACTGCAGGAACCTAAATGCCTTCGTCACTAGCCATCAAGACCTTGTACATGGGGCATGCCTCTGAGTGTTCACATTTACAAGGAAAAACCATGCTGTAATGAAGTCGCATCATGGGGATACCACTAGACTGAATTTGGGAAGCTGGTTACTGGGCAAAGGTCAGGAGATCCAACTAGAGTTCAGGTTAATATGATCCATCACACAGAAAACTCCACACACGTATATCTGGGTTTGGTGTAGGAAACACATAAACCAGAACACCAGTATGGAGGTATAATCTACATGATTAACTCTACAATGTCTGCAGAAATCTCTCATAATTTACAAAGCTTCATCTGAGTGGCTATGCAATACACTTTAGTAATCCTGGGTACTTTCCAAGGGAGTTTTCCATAAATATTTCACAGAATTACCTATCTCCAGAGAACACCAATTTCTAAGCCTGTGAAGACTGATTGTGGTATCTGATATTCCTTCCTTTACCATTTTGTTCTGTTAGCAAGGGCATATTCTCTCTTACTGCAACAAAAGTCGACAAACACACACTGTTGCAATGTTATACTATTGATGGCACTCCTATCAGAGATCACCAATATTCATCAGAAAATACCATATTTAGTTCTAAGAGGCCCCACAACAAAAATAGCAGATTTCAAGCTCACCTAGAGCAAGCAGCAGGTGACTACACTTTCAGAGCTGGCGGGTATACTGGCTGCATATTAACTTTGGACAGCAGAACATGATGAGAAGGCAAAGATGCAAGAGGAAAGACAACCATTAGGTGAACAAATAATAAGTTCTTTTTACACAAATCTTTTAGACAAAGCTGGAACAGGTTATGTTTTCCATGCAAAGAAAAATTCCCTCAGTCAAGAAACACCAGTGCATGCATCATACCGGACAATGGCAGTGGGAAGCGCATAAATCCACTGGCATGCAGAGATGGCAAAAAATGGAAAGGACTGTCTTCAAAGAAAAAGCATGTTCCCAAGAGGTGACTTTGAAGGCAACTTCAAAGCTTACTTGACTGAGATGGGGAAATGTTGGTACTCAACAGGTCCAAGTCCAGGTGTGCTCCGCCATGACAACTGAGTTCTAGCTGCTCTCGCCTGAAGGCTTCTCAGCTAAGTAATTCTCATTTAAGGAAGAGCACAGTATCTGTGTGGGCACACACACTCTCTGGCTTAAGGACAACAAAAGTCACTGAACACCAAAACCAACACTTGCTGGTTTTGTCTCCTGTGTATCTGAGGACTGCTGTTTTATTTTGCTTTGCTTCGCTTTTTAACTAAGAATTATGCACATAGGCTGCTTGCAAAAGTCTAATTCCACAGCTTTTACTCCCAGGCAGCAGACGTGATGAGAGCCCTAGCTGACAGCCACCTAGTCATCTCCTAAATATCTGTCCTGTGGGTCTGAGTGGAAAAAGAAACCAACAAAGTGAATCCCATCATACAATCTTTCTCTCCCTCCCTTCAAATAACACATAAATTAAAAGGCAACTTTACTCTGCATTACCAGCATGACTCAGACAAAAACAAAACCACAATTACAGAGGCTGCATATTCAGACTAAAAATTACACATTTTCTAAACTAGACTAAAACCAAATTACTTTATGAAGAAAATAATCTACACTGAGGTCCACGAAACACACACACAGACACGCACACTGTTTTGGCATTAAAACTCTGCATAGATCAAAGATGCACTTCAGTTATCAGAGCCCCCAGTGTACAGAAGTCCTGCAGAAATCCAGCCTCCAGCCATGGGACCAGGCGCTAGGGCACGGCGTTCCTCTCCACAGCCCTCAGGGCACTTGGCTGCTGCCCCAAACCAAGCACAAGGCTTAAGAAAATAGAAAAAAGTGAGATCTTAAAGTGAAAAAGTCTGTGATGCACCCATACACATATATATTAGAAACTATCTAAGCTAAAACTCTAAAGGTTCTTACTTTAAGTCCATTTCCAAAATGCATTTTAAGTGCAAGTTGTGCTTTTTCATGTGCTTGTGATGCCACTATCACCATTTGTCAACTGCCTTCCAGCACTGTGTGTGCCTCTGCACAGGACCAGCCAAGGAGGAGATACTCCACTTGCCACTTCACAAGCAGGTAACACTTTCCAACTACTCTTAAGACCAGCATGGTAAACCTAGGGCTTACAGACACTTGGTTAATACGTGAGTCACCTTTAGCTGCAAGCGGAGTCCTGCTGGTGTCAGCTGGCTGACATGCACCGAGCAAGAAGGGTTTCTGCAACAGGGCCCAGAGCAAAACAGTTTGCAGCGAGAGTAACCAGCGCTCCCACGTCAGAGTCAGGGATGCTGCAGAAGCCAGTGCCACCGTCGTAAGTGCTCTCGGTACTGCTGCGGAAACCGCAGTTACAGCTACAAAGGTCCCTTCACTTCAACAGGATGGATCTCCAGGACTGAACTTCAGTATCCAAAGGATGAAATGGAGAGCAAAAAGCACAATGGAGTCTCACGTATTTCAACAGCATCACAGGGGGGAAAAACCCACCCTGCGTTTTTAAACAATTTATTGCATAATGTCATGATATGTGACTAAATACATTTCAGGCTACAGTGAGGACAAAAATCTCTAAAACTGCAAGTACTGGCAATACCGCATTATGAAAAGGAAAAGAATGGCAGCACTTAGTTAGAATCAGTACAAAGTAACACATCTGGGATTTTGTTTTGCCATTTAGGAAACAAATAGTCTACACTGCAAAACAGCTAAACCCGAAGTGATGGAAAACACTTGGATTTCGTATTTGCCTTCTTCCATCCAAAAGTCTTCAAGACACTTCATTGATGCACTGTTATCTGAATGCAACTTATTGCAAAGACAAGTGTCCCTGTATTTCTTGATTTGTAAAAGTCAAGAGATGTTAGGCTAAGTCCTGTCCCCTCTTTCTAGCAAACCCAGGGGGAGGGGGGCAAACTCCTCCAGATTAATTCTGAGGCTCTATCAATATTCCACAGGTGAAAAGACAACATATAGAAGAACTTCACATAAAACAGTTCCCTCTTATATATTTTGTTTTAAACATTAAGATAGTGCAACTTTTTAAAACACATTTATCACAACACAAATTAATTCCTTGCATTCATCTAAGTTCTCAACTTTATACCTTGGCACACAAAACAGGAATTTTGTTTCGTATTTAAAAAAAATCCACACCCTGGGAGAAAAAAAAAAGCAAACTGGCCAATTCTTCCCCCATTTCGCTAGCAAAACCACCTTCTTTCTTCTGCCATTCAGTGAGTATAAAACAGGCTGTACAACCCTCATTTCTGTGCTAAGTTAACTTTTAGAATTAAATAATTGAAATAGTTTATTAAAAAAAAATAATATATCCCCCCCTCTCCCCTGAAACACTGCTCATAGACAAACTGAATGGAAGTTTGTATTTCTTTCAATCTGCTTTGCATGTAATTCCCCTGAAAGGAATCAGAAACAAAGAACTGGTTTGCACGTTTGGTTTTACTAAGTTGTACCACGTGAAACGCAACAACATTGTGCACCGGAGCACGGGGGATCTTCCTCCACTGCCCTGCTTCAAACTCTTGTCTTCAGTTCAAATGCACCTGGGCTTACGAGTAACTTTTAGACCAGGTTTCCTGGTTTCCGGTCTTGGCCTTTGCTGGGGACTATTGTGCTCTCTGAATTGTTCTGATGAAACTGAAGTCTGCTCCCCCTCTGCGAGGAAGGAGGCACGTTGCTGTGCTGGTGATGGAAAAAAGAGGAGCCTGGGTAATGCCCCATGACCTCGCTGTACGTCGGGGGTGGTCCTTCCATCCTTCCGTTACTGCTATAGTTGGTTGCACTTATGCCCGAATTGCTGCTTGGTGGGCAGGGGCCCCCATTGTACATGGAGATGTCTATCAAGTCGCTATCAAAAATGGTTCGGTTGGGTGGTGCCCTGACGGATTCCCGGTTGAGCTCCATCTGCTGTTCTGGGTCCCGGAGCTGCAGGGTGCACGGGCCTTGGTACGGTGGCGGCTCTTCTCCATCAGAGAGGGAGATGGTCGGAGGAAGGTCAATCTCATGCTGCATGTACGGGTAAGTGGGCTGGAAACGACTGAAACGGTCCCGCTGCATAAAAGATGGGGCAGTAAACCTGTCCCTGGACCTTGGAGCATACATGATCTGAAACAGGAAGAGACACATGTGATTCCACATCTAGCCAAAGCACTGCGGGTGCTCCATATCAACCAAGAACTGGCAAAATGCAAAATGCTTCTCTTTGACATCTATCTCAGAGATTACACCCAACAGATACTGTACACACATGCTACCACATGCATGCATGTGAAAATAAGAGGTAGGAGTTACAGGAAGGATGTAACACATGATACTTGAGAAGAGCTTCATGAATGAAAAAGAAGACACAACACAGCTCCATCTGACGTTAAAACATGCACAGCCAAGAGAAAATTGTTCTGTTTCTGAACATAGGAAACACATTCTCTCTAGTCTTGACAATTGACTAGTTCTACAAAAATGTCCCAATGCTGAATTTCAGCTGCAGTCTGAACCTGCCTCTCCCACTCAGAGTTAATGTAATACCCTGCATGACCAAAGAATTCCAATGGTCATTTTAGTACATTTTATAAAGGCCCAGCATATCTCACGCCTTCACCACCAGAGTATATCAGGTGTCCTTCTTCCCCTCAGTTCTCAGCCAGAATTCAGCCTCCAGGGAGGGCCTGCGAGGCTGCTGCAAGAGTGCAAAAAATCTCCCTGGCATACCAAGCCCTGGAGAAGGTCCAGCTTTACAAAAGGAAGAGTTCAAGATACTCCATAAGGAGCTATTGCTCCTCACTTGATCCATCCCAGATCTAGACAGACACATCAGCTTCTTATATTCAGATCTTTCAAACTGCTCTTCTCATTTCTGGATCCATGCAGGATTTTTAGTCCCTGACCTTTACAGATGTCAGGAAGTCTGCTGTTTATCACAGGAGAGCTGCACCACTCAGAGCAATGCACCCACAAATTATCACACAGACCAGGGATCTGTGCTAACTAGAAAATGGGAGACACTGGTGATAGGATATGTGTAGTAAATCCAAGAAAAATTCAGGGAGAAGATAAACTGGTCTCCCAGCTTCCACTGAATACTCCATCACTGAGCCACTGCATGAGAGAGACACACCTCTACCAATTACCTGTGAATGGCTACTATGATACAGGAGGTGATGATGGAGATAAGATGCCAGGTAGGCAGAATTCTGTTCTTTTAATGAAAAAACTTAGGCATCTATGGAACGGAAGTTAAGGCAGGTTCAGTTGTCCACATGAAACCTGCTCTTGGTCTACATCAAAAAAGCTTTATTTACTAAATATACTGATGTTTCTGAAAGGAACAAGATATATATTACAGTAACAAGGAAAGCACATTGGTGAAGATGATAAGAAATTTGTACCTCTGAAGCACCCTGGCGTGAAACCGAGCTTTCTGAAGGCCACAAGCACCCTTCCTGGAATGCAGAAGAAAACAACAAAAGAAGAAAAATTAATAGATCGCATCAGCATCCTGCCTGAATACCACAACTCCTACAGTCAGTCAGCTTCAATGGACTGGCTGTCTCCACCTAAAGAGAGGCAATAAACAAGGAACATCCCACCAGTTTCTCTAAAACTAGAGCAAACAGCTGCTCTGCACCCAAGTAAATCAAGCTTGGTCTGTTTTACTAGTGCCAAGGCACCATCCACAGCACGGAGCCTCACAGGCTGTAAGGACATAGCAAGCCAGTTGCAGCTACGAGTGCAGCAGCATGCAGTGATGACAGGAGAAACGTAAGCACTTGTGTGTTGAGCGGGCACCTGTCACCTCCCAGCCTATGACAAGGCCACATAAGCAGGTCCAATGAAGCTGACCAGCAGCCAGGATCCCAATTACAGACCAGAGGCAAAACAGTTTGCAACAAAAACTGGCATCTCTAGTGTCAGCAAAGTGATAGTCACTCTAAGCCCAGGTACAGTCTGGTCAAAACTGTCAGTTGCCCAATTCCCACCATAAATAGTAGCTGACCAGCTGAGGTTTCAGCCACCAGTTCCCCTTCCTCTTCAACCACTTCCCCAGACACCTTCTCAGGCCAAAGCGTTTTCTCTCTCATACCTGGAAATGTTGTACCAGCACTTACGGCAGAAAAAAAGGGTGAAGAACAACATGCCAATAAGGAAAAATGGCTTAAGGCTTATCATTATTTTTCTTCTCAATTAATTCTTTAGAGTAGTACTAGTAATTGCAATGGATTTATATCACTAGACAATTTTGAAGCTGAAAAGAACACATCAGAGCAGGTACATGGAAAAGTACTTCAGTTCTGCTGCAAAAAGAGAAAAATCAAAACATTGTATGCTCATGACTATTTTCTTGGTGCTAATTCCAGTTTTATGCTTTTATAAACACAAGAAAGTTCAGGAACAGGAAGGAAAATGAATACTGTCCCCAAAAGCATCACCCTGTACAGACTACTTTCAAATCTTCCTTTATTGCTGCTTCTCACCATAGCATCTTTCAACATATTTCAGATGTAAAAATAGACCTAACTAGATGTTCATCATGACACTCAGAGACCAAAAGCAGTCTGTGATCTTATCAGGAGAGTCCACTGCAGAGCAAAGCTGCTTTAAGAGGAATCTTCCACAGGATTCAGCTGTTAAGGGAAATGCTTTGAATAACAAAACTGGTCAATCACTTCTCTTCTGTAGCTTTAGAGAGCAGAGAGAGAGAGAGGCTGACAATTACACTATTCACAACATCCCTTTGCAAGTATCCCCATTTGCAACAGCCTGATACAAAAGACAAATCTTGCTTAGATTCATGTATTTCAGTGCCTAGATAAGGTTTTGTCAATAGAAGAAATTGTAACTGTATAACCCAGGTGTATTTTGAAATATCTGAGGATATATTTGCACAATTAAAGACAAGCAGGTTATCAGCAGCTGCCCAGCAGGCTCCAAGCCCGTTGTAATTCTTAACTAAAACATGTTAGTCAAAGCTAACATGCTCAATTAACTGCCCACAAACTACATCCCATACACAGCACAACAGCAGATTCCCAAGTGATGGCTTGAAAAGTACAACTTTATGCTTATTGCAACTGTCTTAATCTCATCTTTAATGTGTTCAAGCTCAGAAGAGAGGAAAAAAAGACAAAACCAATGGCACAACCCAGGAAGGAATTCAATCCCACTCACTTTATTTCAGCTTCCTGATGGTGGAAGCAGAATCAAGGACTCCCATCCTAGGGCCCTAAGGCAGGAGAGTAAGAACAGCTAGGGGACATGGCACAACACATGGAGAAAAACTCCTTCTGCTGAGATGGGAGCAGGACCTGCATGCTTAGCCTAGGCACACAGACCTGGTACCAGCAATGCCTAACAGAAATGACCTGCTGTAGGAGTGGAGATGCCCATCACTGTACCAGTATGAACAGTACATGTTGATGCCCAGTACAGTAAAAGACCCTGCCTAGAGGCACTGCAGTTGCTACAGGGACCCTACCTAGTGCAATCAGGTTACTGAAAGAGTTGGACCAAAGGAGCCCAAGGCTCTCCCTGTTCTGGGCTAACTGCTTGAAGAGATAGTTTGGGATGCCCCTGAACTCCAAGGCTATGAGATCCTTAGGACACAAGGATTGTGATAACATGGCCTCTGTGACAGTGTGTTCTACAGCCCACCTGTAACTACTCACCTCCCTAATGTTTCTTCTGGAGAGAGCAGCGTGCTGAATAAATCATTTGGCAGCAGCCAGCCCCCAGTAAGATCTCTGTCTCAGGAGCCAGAGGAACAATACAAGCAGATGGCTGGGTAGCATATGCTCAGCATGCCCACACTTGGAAAATACTGGGCTCACACACCACATGCAGACTAACCTCACTATGCATACGTGATTGGTTCAGTACCACAGTAGAGGATTCTCATCATGACTGGAATAAGCCTAGACTAACTGGCCCAATGCAAGAAAAGGCTCATGCACTCTTACACAGTGCATGAGCCAGTCTTAAAATGGACAGCGAGAAAGGCAAGGAGAAAGGGAAGGAGACAGCAAACTACTGGGTTTCCTGCATTCAGCTATGCAGGAGTCCCCCTTCTAGGTCCTGAAGTTACTGTACAGTGACCTGCAAGGACAGATAAAAACATGCACTGGATAGATACAAGGGTTGGTGCCTACCTACCCCACTGTTCTTGGTGTCATAGCAAGAGGTTTAGAGAAGAAGAAAGGGAAAACCTCAATGTTTCAGAAGGGAAATATATCCATACCTTCCCCCTCCTCCCCTTCCCCCAGATGTAAGAAATAACATGCTGGTACTGCCATAAACAATGTGCGTTGATTTACATTGATGAAAAGTATTATTTCTTGCTCTCTCCTTGTCCCTCTACTTACTGACCTCCATTTGACAGCTAAAATACTTCCCTGTGCTCAGATCTGTGAAAATAAGGTAAGAACTGACAGCATTTGCATTCATATTCATAGAATCATAGAATTATAGAATGGTTAGGGTTGGAAAGGACCTTAAGATCATCAAGTTCCAACCCCCCTGCCATGGGCAGGGACACCTCGCTCCCTTACACTGTTCCTCTCTTTTTACTATTCAAATTACTAAGGCAGCTCAGCCTAATGATAAAAAACTACTTTGAACTTCTTTTCACTCGGTGACTTCTCATCCCACTTCTCACCCTGTGAGCAAGACAAAGCCAGGCACAGGCAATAGAGCTCAGCACCATGACTGAACAGCTGCCAGGACTGGCACAAGCTCGCAGCCCCAGCAACCCCACTGCATGGCATTGTGCCAAAAGGAACTTCCCAGCTAGCAAATCCAGCGCTGGCAGTCCTGCTTGATGACCCCCTCACACCCAACACCCAGGGATTTGTGCAAGTGGTTCTTAGGTATGGGCAATCAAGGTCAAACCTGAGGAAATGCAATTCACCAGCTGGGTTGGGGGGGGTGTTCTTGTTTGTTTTTTGTTTGTGGACAATATATGATTTCCCTGCTTCTTACAGATTTCCAATAGCTAGCCGCTTCAACTCACCCCTTCTTAAAGAGGCTAAGTTTCTTCAGGTATGAGCTTCAGTACTTAAAAGTAATAGGAAGAGAAAGCTTATACATTAATCCCCTATGCTGTATTTATTTTTAACAGTGTTAGCTTTTGGGAATTAAAAAGAAATCACCTCCATGGTAAATCCTAGCTCCTACAAAGCAAGAAAAATCTTAGGGATCCAGCTATGTCTTTTGCCGACCTTTGCCATTGCTGGGTTTCACAATAACTTACAGAAATTAATTTTGTGATTAGGTTTTGAAATAACGTCATTTAATAAATCCAGTTGGGTGATTACTTAATTATCTTATGGTGAATTATCTTATGGTGATTATTTAGCTCAATATTTAGAGCTTAGAAGACTGGATAAACCTAACATAATTTGCCTAATTTGTATTTTACAAAGGTTTACAGCCTCTAGAATCAAACAGTTTAGAAAGATCACTTTGTGAGGGCAATTTTAAACACAGTGCTTCCGGAAGCAAGCAGTATCATCCAGCTACCTCAGCTGATCATCAGCACATTGATAGACAGCAGGCAGGCAGAAGAATATTTAACTCAGGATAAGATACAGGTAAAAATCTGTGCTCAGTAAGAAAAATTCTTCAAACTGCAATAAAGAAAAACATCCCTGTGCTGGTTTTGGCTGAGATAGAGTTAATGTTCTTCATAGTAACTAACACTGGACTACATTCTGGATCTGTGCTGGAAGTAGCACTGATAATGCAGGGATGTTTTCATTAGTGCTTACACAGAGCCAAGGCCTTTTCTGCTCCTCACACCACCCCCCTAATGAGCAGGCTGGGACACAGGTTTTCACAGCTGGGACACAGCTTGTCCCCAGGTTTGCTGGGGATGGCTGAACACCTACCTGACCATGGGGCATGATGAATGAATTCCTTGGCTTGCTTTGCTTGCATGCACCAGTTTGCTTTACCCATTGAACTGTCTTTATCTCAACACTCAAGTTTCCTCACTTTCACCATTCTGATTCTCTCCCCCATTCCGCTGGAAGCAAGCAGCAGTTTGGTGCCCAGTTACCATCTGGCGTTAAACAATGACAACCTCGTATGATCCAAGCTTTTATTTTTACTGAATCTTAAGGAGATTCTTGTTTTTTCATACACTTCCAAGTTTCTGAGAATTAGAACTCCGCCTGAAATTTTTATTTCCTGAGAAATAAAAGTCAGGTTTTCACCTGGAAAGATTTCACTGGAAAGATTAAGAAGGTCCCTCTCTTCCCTTCAATTATACTCAGATTTTTATTTTATTATTTTTCATATGTGTATACATACACACACAAATATACACACCTCTTTTGCAAATAGGTTTCAGATAGCAGTGTAGTTTCTGATTTTGGCCCTAGGTGGTACCTTACACCACATTAAAACAGTGCCTTGCTAAAAATGTTCAGGGAAGGCACATGGGCCTCCCTGCCTCTTCCCGGCTGATACAGACCACCACAGCTCTTAAGATGCAACATTTTCCCAGCCAAACAAACTATTGTGCTGTCCCCAACAGAATGACAAGTATTCCAGCAGGACCACTCCTTCCTTTAAAAGCTGTGTTTCCCCAAGGGAAGGAAAGGTTACAGTGTCTGGCACAGCAGTATACGGTAACAAGAAGTATTAAAGAGGTAATTATGGAGAGCACCAAACTTTTCATACGTAGTGCACCTCCCTACACTTAAAGCAATTATTTCTCTTACTTAATGCTTTAAAAGTTTTATTTCCTCAACTTCACAGCACTTTACCACTTTAAGTAATCTTAATTTCATCCCAGTGAAGGAAATAAGTACTATTATCCTTCCTCCTTTGTTTGGAGATGAAGCAAGTTGCCCAAGGAGACACACTGAGTCAGGAGCCACTCAAAGCTGGCATTCCTTGCTTCTAGTCCTAACTCTAGATTTCCTAGACAATCCTTCCCTTCTTAAAGATGCTCTGGCTTTATTGTGGTAGACTTCAAAGACCAGCAGCCAGGACACACTGTCCCTCCTGGCAGCACTCCCTGTGGAAAGGCAAGCCCATATCCCTCATGCAGACAGCAGGAGAACACAGTGCACATCCAGCTGTTGCCGACAAGTGCCTGGCACCAAAGGAAGATTTGGCAAATCAGGGTGGTCTACAGCACTCATATTCACCCCGGGTTCTCGTTCCCAGTGGGATTTTCTTTCTTCTGAACGTCAGTAAGTAAATGAGAATAAGTGGCCCAGGGATGCCAGCAGGGAACAGAAGGAATAATGCCAACACCAGTGGGGAATAATTTAAAAGGCCAAGAGGCAAGACTAACATTTGAAATCACCAACAAATCCCTGGAGTTGTCAATATTATTGAGTATTTTCTGACACTCTCTTGACATTACACATTTTTATTCTGAAATAGCTGTTCCAGGAAACAGGGCAGTATTTTTCTAGCTGTGCTCCTAGAACTTGGCATTCTAGATAGACACTACCAAGTCAGGTGCTAGTGCAAGCTGACTAGCCCTAGCAGCAATGCTGCTTTTGGTGCTGAGAGGCAGGGGCCGGTCAGGGCGAACATCTTGTGTGATAATTGGCAAAGACTTCGCTGCCAGGAGTGAGCCTGGAGCATTCCAAGCGTTCAGTACTCCTTCAATACCCACTTTATAGGTGAAAAAGACAGACAGCAGCCACCAGGGTTGGGAGAAGGAATGAATTTAGGGCCACCAGAAGCTCATTAAGTTCCTAACACTTGTGAAGGCAGTGATATCCTCTGATACCCAAATTTCTGGACTTGGAAGACAATGAGAATTCCAATTTCCAGGATTTTTTTGTGGTGGTGTTTTTGGCTGGGGTTTTTTTGATTGGTTGGTTGGGTTTAACACAGAAGGAAGTTGACCCAGACAAAGAACACACAAATACTTTTTATTTCATTATTTTGCAGGCCTGACCCCATGCATTTTACAAGTGTGAGGCTGGCAATTAAGGCAATAGCTAATTTATCTGTTCATTTATATTGCACTTTCTAGAAGAACCAGAATAAGAGATATCATCTGTTCAATAGCTGGTCTTTATGAGGCCAGAAATCTGTGTAATTCAGCCAGAGCTCAGCTGTTGGAAGGCTTTATAATCTAGAAATAGGACAGGCTTGAAGGAAAATTGAAGGTAACAAAAGGACAAAAAAAAGGCCTATCTGAATAGGAAACGCATTGTTCTGTATCTTGATACACTTCTGCTACCCCAGTTACGTGAAGGGGGGCTCACTCCGCAGTTCACTACAGGAACTAGCCAACAGTCAATTAATTTGCCTTACCGCTTTAAGAAACATGGCTGTATTTCCTTTATTTCCATTCATTATTTCTCCTCCAGCAGAAGGCCTGAGTCAGAATTTTTTCTTCAGACCTTAGTAGTTAATAAACATTTAAATCTGTTTTCAGACTCTATATACCATTAAAAAAAAAACTGCCTTGGAAGAGCACCCATTTATCGATTGCATCTGCACACAGAACAAGGCCTGCCTGGTTAAAATAGAAATATATTTTTGAAGTGTATAATCTAACCCAAACCTTACTGCTCACACTACTTGCCTCATGCCGCCATGGACAGTGAGAACAGACTGATCCTTTCCAGTTTCACATGACAGAACATATGCTTTAGTTTTTCTACCCTCATGCACCACACACTGCTTTTAAGGTCTGCACTACAAATAGCGCGCAACCAGTTTCTACCAGAATTTCCTTTAACACCCGAGACAAAGAAAAATTCAAATATATCTGACATCTAACCTCAGAAACCTCTGAAGTCCTGTTCCCCACAAACATGACCTTTTAAGAACATCTTCAGTTTATCAGAAATCCACATGAGTAATACTGATGACAAACCTACATCAGAGTTTTTGGAAGGATTAGTAACTAGTTATTGCCAGCCAATAATCAATTCCCATGAAGTGCTCACATGGCTGATTATCATTACTTACAATGACACCATCAAACTGAAACTGAGTCAGTGTTTTAAAAATTAATAAAGAACAATTCTAGAGAGTAAAGCAGCTCTTAAGTCCCCACTGCCAAACTGCATGTTCTTCACAAGAAGATGACGCTTCCTCCCTTGTGTCCAAGAGAAAAGGCACCACTTGGTCTGATGACAGACAATACTAACAAACCATACAAAGTAAATAATGGGTTACTTCACGCATTTGACAGCTTACTGCAGTTTTAAGATTTGAGGATGAAAATGCATTTCCTTTATCTCAAATTATTTCATTTTAGGTTCTTGTACCAATTATACCTAACATTTTTCAGACAGGAGTGTGGTTCTTTAATTACAGTGCCCATTTCAAAGCAACATTCAAATTAATCTATGCAATTTTTCCAGCCCTGAAGTCCACAAGGTTAAGGTTTGACAAGTTCCAGTTTCAGCTGTAACCAAAGTAGAGCTAAAAATTCCTACGCTACCAAAGCACTAGGAAATAAGGCAACCTACCCTTGAGCTCCTTTTCTCTCTATGCAGCCTCTGACATAAGAGCTGCTCAAGTGCAGCAAGAGGGTGCAGGTGATGTGCTAAGTGACAGCTCTGGGAGCCCTGCATTCATCACATTTTATAGCTGGTTTTCAGGACGGAGCTGCCAGTTGCCAGGGGTCTAGCCCTGGCTCCAGCACCCCTGGCTCCTCCCCTGCCAGCACTCCCTCCCCTGCCCCAGCACTTTGCTCCCTGATCTGGCTGAAATCTAACTGAAAAGAAAAAAGAAAAAAGAAAAAGGCAATTAGTGTTCAGTGAGATTGCCCCGGAGGCCTCACAACATGATCTTAGCAACTTCCTAAGGAGCACAAAAGAGAAAACACAGGACTGTGACAGAAAGGTGAGACTGTGTGGACTTGCAACTAGCGTAAGCCATTATGGGACCCACACCTTTCAGTTACAATTTTTTCGATGGTGAAATGAAATTAAGCTGTGAACCCAGAGCTGTTGCCACGAATTTAATGCATCAAAAGCCTCCCCTCACAAATGGCCCCTTGGCCATCACAGTCAGCAAAGAGCCAAAGGCATCACTTCAAGGACATCAAAAAGCACATCAGGAAAAAGGATCTCCCTGCAACATCCATGGCTTTGGAGGTGTGTCCCAAGGTCAGGGACACCCTTGGGGGTTAACCCTCACATGGGAGCAGTGCATCCCACCCAGTAAACTCCTGGGTTACTCACAAGGCAAGTCACATGCCCATTTACTGTTAGGTTGACTAAAGACAGGTTTAAGTCTCAACTGAGATCTGGTCTTAAGCCTTTGTCTCTGTAACAACACATCTTAACCACTCCACATCCTTGGAGGGATCATTTTCCTAGTATTTTCTTACTGTTCGAGTGAAAAAAAAACATTATATTTTCCTGGGACCTTACTTAGCCAGTTTGGATAGAGCAAACAGTTAGTGTAGCTTCACAAAACAGTAGCACTAATAAAACTCCAGGATACCAGTAAGTATATGAAAAGTCACAATATGCATTTCAAATCTTCATACCTCAGGTGATCGCCATTAATTCCCCCCCAACTCCCCTTCAAATTACAACAGCAGCAAACAGGATGTCGCATATGAGCCTCCAAACGTAAAATGAGAACAGGCTACATAAAACATAGAAGGCTCTAAAAATAAGACAGTGTATATAGAATTTATTTCAGTATTTTTTCCTACTGAAAAATACAACCTCAGTAAATGACCCAATTATAGCAAGTATTAAAAAGTGACATCAGAAGTTTTGCCAACACTTACCAGAGCTCCTCAGGAAGCCGTGCTGCAGACCATACAGCACAAGGAGAAGGAAGTTGGTACAAAGGGCTCATACTCACCGTCTGCAAAGTTTCTTCCTGTCTTCTGCTTTGGCTCTGTCGATTGATAAAGGAGCGTGTCGAGAGTTTGTAATGGTTCAACAAGCAGATGATCACTACCACCATAACAGTTATAACCACAATTATAATGATGATTTGAACAAACTCCAGTTCAGCTAAAACAAAGAAAAAAAAAAGGAAAATGTCAATCACACATAGAATGTTACCCATCAAAACAGTAATTTGAAAAACCCTCAGTATTTCCTCAAGACTGATCTGGAGCAAGATGTTACTGCTGTTCATTTCACAAAGTTTTGTGAAGCACACTGTTCCAAAACATATGAAAATTGTTTCATTTTTGGCCAGTGCCGGTCAGTCAGTATAAATAACTGCAGGTGACAGCTAAGGAACTTCTTGGTGATCCTTCTCTGCAGCCTTTACAGATAATAAACTCTTCAGCAGAAACACTTCAGAAAAGCCTTCTGGATAATACAACAGTTAAGGGGGGGGGGGGAAGGACAAAAAAAAAAATCCTGACAAAGAAACCAAAGAACACCATGTATGACACTCACTCCAGTTTAATAGCCACCTGGATTGCCAATAGAGTCCAGAGGCCTCCAGCTGCTTCAAAGCAGGGACCATGCAGAAAGAAATCAGGACACTGTATATAGTAAACCATCCTTATTTTTTTTAACAGCTAAACAGCACGAAAGCTACTTAAGTGGAGAACAAGCTTTTTTCCTATTGAATCTACATGTAATTCTCTTTCAACTATTCACTTCGCTCCAACCAGAGTGAAATTAACTTTTCTAGGATATTCCCATTCAGGTAAAAATTAGAAGAGAACTGGTACTTTAAACAATATATGCTCAACCACGGTTAGAATGAATCCTGGACCCTGGCTGTTGCAAGAGGTAACTACAATGAACATCAGAGGCTATTACCTTATCAGAAGTCCTGCCTATACCATAAATATTAAGTATATTTAGAAATAAGTCACTCTTGCACCCCTTCTGCTATACAGGAGCAGAAAGTACAAGCAATGCAAGTGGAGAAATTGCCCTTTGGAGCTACACAGTTCCTGATATTTCTATGGAAACTGCATTGCTCACAGGGGATGCTCTCATCTTGAAAGACAACTCTAGTAAATGGGAAGTCACCTTTGGTTGCTAGGCTGGTAGAAAAAGCAAAGCAGCAGCACAAGTTGCTCAGTTTCAGCACTTTCCAAGAACATCACTATTTTTGGGCACCGAAACAGGAACTGAGGGAGCTGGTATTAAATTTGTTTTTTAAAAGCAGATGAGGAAAGAAAGATAACAAAATATAAAAAGACAAAGCACATACTGGAGAAAACAAGCTCCCCCATCCCCTTATCTCTTTCAGCTGCAGTCATCCTCAGCCTTCTATGTAACAGCAGTACACTTACATTAACACAGCTATGAAGCTGAGCTGTTCACACATAAAAATCTAAAGTGGCCTGTAGTGGAACTAAAAGAAACACAAGGCTGTTCCATTATTCTAAGATCTCTTGTGAACAAAACCTCATGCTACGGGGACTGCAGCATGCAGGTGTCCACTGGAGGCTGTTGCGAGGTCCAGCTGCTTGTCACAAGTTACCAGCGGGCACAGGGACACCACTATCTAAGTACTGAGGCTCTGCAATCGTCTCAGGAATAAACTAAACCTTTTTTAGGCCAAGAAGAAAGTAAAGGGGAAAACACATCTATCATTTAATTTCTCTTTGCTGTTAAGTACCATACACTCATCATAAAGATCATCAGCATTTACAAAACATTCGATTAGTCAGTGCTTTGCCCTGCCTTTGCTATCAGCCCCACATGCAATGCAGTGATACCTCCCCCCCCCCTTACATCACTGGAAGCTAACAATGTCTACGCCAATAGATCAAAAAGCAGAAAGCATAGAAATAATTAAAAAACAAACCCACCAAAGCCAAGTTTAAGTAATTTTTCCTTGGCTCAGAAGCACAGAATACAGACTTGACACAGCTGACAACTGCTGCAATTAACATTCTGCAGCTACCGAGCATAAAGGGCTTCTTTACCTAAAACTTTTCTGGGGGAGAGTCCATGCAATACTTTAGACTAGAAATTGAGAGACTGCTGCTAAAGGGCAACATGCTAAACAAGCAGTGTTGATTTAGGCTTTCCTAGAATGCAGAGATCACTGGAATGACATGTTACTTCTCTATCTGCCAAGGGCAGTCTTCTAAATTTATCACAGCCCCAGCATTTCAGTGGCAGGGGACAGTACCTCTCCTTTTGAAATAAGTGACTTTGAGTGCAAGCATTGCCCTGGGAAGGGGTAATCCCTTGGAAACATTTCACTAAAACACAGCTACAAAGAAAAATAAAACCTAGCACATAGGTGTTAGCACAGAGGATTTTCCAATTAAACAACAAAACACCCTACTGACACTCAAGTGAATTTTCCCACTAAAAAGCACGGGGAAAGGAAAACGGAAAGTAATCTTTAATCTCTCCTTCCCCCGAGCAGCCCTCCTGCTATTCATTAGGTTATTAACAGGAAAAGCAAAGAGACAAGAGCAGCAACAACTTCTATTTACTGGCACTGCTCGGAGCAATCTGAAAAGTCTCTGGCAGCTACTGACACAGACTGGGGTCACGTCGGCCGCCAGCTCACCTCCTGCCCTGCTGCTGGGTGCAAAGAGCCCTCGATATCACCTTCCTAACAGGCATCTCTTCCTCCCCGTTTTTCCTATAGATTAACTGGGAAAGAGGCGGGGGAGATTTGGGAAGAGAAAGTGTATGTTTTTACCTCCCTAAATCTCTGTCACACTCACACCTGTTTCTTCACACACAGGAAATAATATTTAGAACACGGTGGTATTTCCCCCCCAGGAGAATACTTCATTATGGCAAACGCACAAAACCAAAGAGACAGCTAAATATTGCACGAAAACACCTTCACAGAGGAGTACAAAAAAATAAGAGAGAGAGAAACGATGTGTAACTCTACCAACAGCCACAGAAGTGCCCGCACCGTCACCCGAACCCTCCCGAGCAGACAGGACCCCCGTGCCGCCCGGAGCCCCAGGTAGGCTGCTCTGCAGGAAGCGCTCTTCCAGCAGGCTGGGCTGTAAGTTACCGGGTGTCGCCCCGGTAGTCCGGGGCCGGAGCTGACAGCAGCCCCACCGCGCAGGCACACCGGACGAACGAGCGGGTACCTCTTTCCAACAACAGGTCTTTTAACCGCGCATCCGTCACCGCTGTCCTGTTAAGCCGCTCACTAGACATGCTCGCCTCCGGCGGACGAGGGGCTCAGGCCGCTCCGCCAACCCCAGCGGCGGGCACCGCATCACCGGCGGCCCCGAGCTCCATGCAGCGAGGGAAACACCGCTCTCGGGCCGCCCGCTCAGCCCGAGCTGACTCACAGACAGGCAGACAGACAAATCAGTCTCCTGCCTGTCCACCGTCCCTCTCCCCAGCACACCGCAGGCCCCAGCCCCGGCGCTACCGACTACCAAGTGCTGCCGGCAGCGGGCGGCGCGCTGCAAGGCGGCCGCGGGCGGGCGACCGAGCAGGGCCGGACCGGGGCTAGCACCGGCTACTCTCGTTCCACCCCCACTCCGCGTGTGCGCGCACGGACAGAGAAGGGAGCCGCCTTGGCGCCGCTGACAGCGGAGTCCCGCCGCGCTCGGCCCGGGCGAGATTAATGATTAAAAATAAAAATAATTAAAAGAAATAACGGGAGAAAAAAAAAAAAAAGAAAAAGGACACGGAGAACCCCGCCACGTCCCGGCAGAGCCGGAGGAAGGAAGGACGCGAAGGAGGTACGGAGGAACGAGTGTACTGTAGCTTACCCGCACCACCGCCCCGCCGCTCTTTAAGCACGGCCCGGCCCGGCGGGCGCTCGCGGCGCCCCAGCTCTTCCGCCTGACCCGGCCGACGCGCCTGCGCCGCTGCCTCCGGCACCGCCCACCCACCACTACCACCCTCCACCCCCAACCCCCCCCAGCACGTGTCCGCGCCCCGCCCCAGCCGCCGGTCCCGGCCGAAGAGCCGGGGTGAGGGTCGGGGAGGAGCAAAGCATCTTCCGTTGCTTGTAACCACCCAGACCCAGCCCGTCCCGTCCCTGCTCACCTGGGGAGGCACCGGCAAGGAAACTGCCCGCCGGCCCGCGCCTCAGGTACACAGCCAGCGACAGCAGAAACCCCCGCAGGCCGCACGGCTGCAGTTCTGTTGTGTGCAGCGTTGTGGGGAGAGCCGCGGGAGTAAGGTACTGGAGAGACGCGTGCTGGTGTATTGTGAAACGATAGCTCTGGACTGTCAGTTCCACAGGGATCGAACCCTCAGTCACCGTCAGAAAACCACAGGGGAGGTCAGCAGCAGGGACCTGAAGCACAGTCCCACCAGAGTCCCTGCCATATCCCTCATTTAGAGTTATATCCACCAACTCCCTGGATGTTCCTCCTATTCCAGCTTCACCAGCGTGGCCAAGCCCTCCTCCTGTTCCTAGTGTCTTCGCCGGATTACTGTATCATTGCCAAAACACCAGGTAAGACCTGCTTGTCTACACGAGCAGGAAAAGAGTTCACCCTCTGGTCTGTGTTAACCCGGGTCTTTGGAGCTGCATAAGGCAGAGGAGCCAGGCTGCAGAGGAGCCCCATCACACATCACAGCCACAGCAGTCAAAGCCTCCAAACACACTATGGGGCTGACCATGAACCCGCTGCTCCCCACACCCTTCTGGCCTGCAAACCCCATGGACCAGTCTCAAAGGGGTGGCCATGAGGAATATCATGAGGGGAGACGAGCCGTGGCCATGAGGTGTCAAGGGCAGTTGTGAGGCGAGATCATGACGAGAGAGGAGGGGCGGCCATGAGGGAGGATCGCAATGGAGAAGAAGGGGCAGCCATAAGGGGACATCATGACAGGAAAGAAGGCCGTGAGGGGAGATCATGAGGGGAGAGAAGGGGCAGCCATGAGGGAAGACTGTGAGGGGAAATAAGGGGTAGCCATAAGGGGAAATCATGAAGGGAGAGGAAGAGCAGCCATGAGGGAAGATCTTGAAGGGAGAGGAGCTGCGGCCATGAGGAGACATCATGAGGGGGGAGCAAGGGTAGCCACGGGATGTGAGGGGTGGCCATGAGGGGTGAGGGGCAATCATAAGGGGAGAGCATGAGGGAAGTGCAGGGGTGTGAGGTGCGACCATGGGGGGTAGGGGTGGCAGCGATACAGTATGGGGCCACTATGGGGGGCAGATGAGGGGTGGCTGTGAGTGGAGATAATGAGGGTACGTCTTGAGGGTAGATCAGTTTGCCCTTAGTGACATGGTTTAGTGGTGATCTTGGCAGTCCTGGGGTCATGGTTGGACGTGATGATCTTAAAGGTCCTTTTCAACCTATTTGATTCTAAGATTCTATGACAAAGTCACGGAGTAAAAGCCAAGAGGAGGAAGGCTGAGAGGAGTGGACCTGCTTGCAGTCCCCCATCAAACTAGCACTAGGAAGAGTCAGGCTGGTTAAAATACTAGGAGACACATCCTGATACATATATCCACTGCACACAGCCTGTCGTTTGGTTACAAGCTATCCCCATAGTATGGATTTATTAAACCGCTGTTGACGTTTAGCTCGATACTGCAAGGTCTAAGGCCCCAGTCCAAACAGTACAGTCAGCCTAGAGCACAGTGAATGTGGTCTGTAAATAAATATCCTTTGAGAGTTCCTAGAAGAGCAAAATGAGTTCAAATTATATGTCAAGGGAATGCTTTTGTGCAAGTGGACTAGTAACTGACTACAGCACCATTACCACAAGAAGGAAATAATTCAGTACAGATAGCAGATGTGAAGCACCTTCAAAACTATGATCTTATCACACCTGGACTTCTTGGAAAACAACTAATCCAACAGATTGGCCTCTTAAACATGGCTGTTGTATAGGCATGGCCCGCTTTGTGTGTATAGAAGTACTGCTGAAGCTGGTTATCTTCCTGCTGCAAGTTCTTTGTTGTCAAGGACTGAAGTGTAAAACAAAGTTTCTGAGCCAAAGGTTGACTCACATATATCATTCCCAAACCTTAAAATGAGAAGTTGGTTTCAGATAAGTGTAGTTTAAATACTATAAGCAGAAAACAAAACAAAATTCATGTATCAGTATTAATACTGCTCCTTTACTTTGGTCTCCTACAATTGAAGCCTGTTTCCAGTCCCTGAAACAGGCATTAACCTACAGCATAAAATAATTGTTTTGGCAAGACTGGGGATTAGGCACATAGGCTGATTGATACATCATGTGCTTTACTCCCTGTCTAGCCCACTTTTCCCCTACCCACCAGAATTTGTTTAATATTATTGTACCAGTGCAGGCACAATGACTGCAAAATGGTTACAGACTATTGAATCCATAAGTGATGCACCCCACAGGCATCCTCACAAACATCCTCAGAACAGTATTTGGCTCATTACCTATTTATTACGAATTTATCATCAAGTTTTTACTGTGAATCAAGCCCTTTAGGGGCTGAACAACTATGCAGCAAGTGCCAGATAGCCGTAAAAGCTGCTCAGTCAACAAGGACGGGGGACTGACTTCCTTCTAAAATTCCCCTCGCAGTAGCAGGTTCCACCATGACCTCTGAGCAGGCTGGCTGCTCTGGAGACAGGGTTGAAGCTCCCTAAACAGGCTTTGGCACACTGAGTTGTAATACTTCCCCACAAGCCATTACAAGCCTAGTGTATCAATGATAAAGCTGAGCGCTAACTGAACTTAGTAACCTTTAGGTGGAATTTTATAAAGCATGTGTTTACTGAGCTGTCTCCTCAGTCTTGACTGGGAAAACAAAAACTCATTCTGGAACATGCAAGAACAAAGACCTTGATTCTTTGTTTTACTAATAGTAAAGATGTTAATCTCTTAAGCATAAGAAAACACAGTCATGCTTTGATGACCAAAACTGGACAGATGCTACTTTATCAATATGAGTTTTTCATTTCCGCTACTTAATCCTTTTTTTCTTTGCTTCTCTAAAGACATTACTGATGGTGGGTAGGCTCTTGGCCAGTCCTTACTCTGAAGAGGAAGAGAAAAACCACAGTCTTGAAACTGCAAAGTAATGGGGTGTTTCCTCCTGCCTGCAGTCAGCCCCTTGGGGTCATTTGCATGGGGAACCTGGACAGCAGGAGTGTGCAGAGGTGTCTCCCCCTTCCTGCACTGTTGATAACTATGCACGTAATTTCAGCCCAGAAAACCATCTGAGATGGGCACAAATCTACAGCCATTAACAGATGGGAGCATTGTGGAGAGATTAGCGACACAACCCAAAAGAAGCAAGTTTGGTGGAGGGATTTAACACAGAGGAGGAACAGCGTTTCAGTTAAGTCCCTGTTAAAGCTGTTCTTCACTCTGCATTACCAGAAAAGATTGTGAAATTGACTTATATCTCTTTTTTTTCTTTTCTCTTTAATCACTGTTTGGAACCCTCCACTAAAAAGCTCCCTCCAAATCTTGTTTCCTAGGAAAAGCAAAGCAGTCTTTCAAGTGCATAGTTAGTTGCACAGCCTGCATGGTCCATGTGCTAGCCATGTGTGCGATGGTTTGTTTCCCTGTGCTGGAAGGAAGGGTTCAATCTGGGACACTGAATTATAACAAGCTATTTTAAAAGTAATCACCGTTTCAGACCTGACTAGCCCTAGCTTTCTTTACACTGGTGAGTGAGAAAATCTACTCATGAATTATCCCCACTGCAGTTCTATTTGTCCTCAGATGCCAGCTCGACACAGGCAATTTACAGTTGTCTCCTCCAGCAGGGTTAAATGGTACAGTGAGCATAATACGCTGGCCCTGTTTACCCTGGAGATTACGCTACTGGTAACTTCTATGCTCCCCTGTCACTGCTGAAAAACAGGTACAGAATTTCCTAGTGCTGATGCATAAGGAATAAGAAACTCCATGCAGGAAAAGGGAGCTGTAAATCTGAGGGTGATAATCAGCCCAGGCTACTCAGACCATGAAAATGTCCTCAAACGGATGAAGCAACTGGGTGGCTGAGAACCAGAATTTCACGCAGGTACCGATTACACTGAATACTGTTATACAGTGTCTTCCACTTATTCTAATAATTGATTAATTCAATCCTCCATTTAGTTCTATTAAAAACTCATGAACAAAATCAGCTGCACTGAAAACACTGCAACCCCTTCTATCTGTCATTTTGATCATATTCTGTAGCTTTTGGCTTATTCTGAGCTCAAATCTAATCAGTGGTTATAAAAATGAGCTATTTAATGATGAGAAAAGGCAAGAAAGTATCATAATGATTTGAGGTTTTTTATTATTCCTTTGTCACTCAGGGTTCTCCAAGCAGTAATTGCCATTAGTACCTGGTACTGGACTCTCCATGGTTGCAGCATGATTACCCTACCTAAGATCCCCGTGGTTTCCAGGTAATTCCCAGCACACACAGGAATGAGTCATACCTCATTATTAATTTTATTTTTTTTTATCCCATTCAGGCAGGAGCTAGAAGAGATGCACTAAGGACTACATTAAAAAGCTGAGATTACATTATGCATTATCCTATCATAGGAACAGATGAAAGTTAAATGAGAGACAGAATTAGCATGGGTGCTAGAATCTATGCATATGCAAGAATCCACCTCCAACAAAAAACTGAAAGCCCTGTTGTAGAAATATAGGTTGCTAAATAAGCTATTAGTGGTATCTTATACACAAAAAGGAACATTCTTCCATTAAGGAACACTCTGGAGTTGCAGAGAGTCTCCTGCCAGGTGGATTATTCACTCCATAAATCTCAATTGCCAACAAACTCCTTGGCAGCCAGGAAAAGAAAACAATGGGCACTTGGCTGCCGATTAACAGACTATCAAGATACTTTAGTGCTTTCTGACTAAGTTTTGTGGAAGGCCTTAAAAAAGCTGGACAGTGCAGAAACCTTTCAAGATCACAAAAAACCCCAGCAATCCTGGTCTAAAAAAGAAACCTAAGGGCAAGAAACAGAACAGAGATAAGAAGGGAAAGCAGAACCAGGATTACAATAAGGTACTAAAAATACAAGTACAATGTGAAGAGCTGTATTTTATTTTTGACGTTAATATAATCAGCTAGTTTAGAGATATGAAATTCTGCCTTACTGATGGTGCTGCCTGGTACGTGAAAGGAAAGGATGAAGAGGGGAACCTGGGAAAAGTATCCAAAGAGATAGGAGAGAGAAAGGGAAGCCACATAATGAAAAAATCTGAGGTCAGCTGTGACAGAAAAGTAATGCTTTTAAAGAACTACAATGCCAATATAAGCTAACATTAACATTTATAAGTGAGTAAGGGAAATACATAGACACTGAAAAATGGATTTACAAGCAAAACAAAGGAATTTTCTTTGTTTTCTTTTATCTTACAGTTTTCTTATTGTTTGTCTTTCAGCATTTACACACATGCTGTCTGGATGTATAATCATAAGGGAAATTAACCCTGGATAACCCCATGCTGCAGCACTATTACAGAAATTGCTCTAGAGAAAACAACTCTAGGAATAAAATGGGGGATGTTCGTCGGAAATCAAGTAAGTCACAGACACAATAGGTCTGAAGCATGGGAAAATCTCTTTATGAGAACACACCATTAAACATTACAATCAAGCATAAAATTGCTCTGCCACTGTATTTTGTTTTATTTGCATTGTTAAATTTCTTCTCCTAACAATAATGGATAGTTTATAGCACTAATGATTTATACAAAAGGAGCAGTGTAAATGCATTCCGAATGGGTGGCTTCTTTCTTAAGAACTGTAGACTCAGTTTCCTTCAGCTAGATCGCAAATCAGTGACTCACACAAATTTCACATCTGCCTCAGGATACAGTGGTGCAGCCTCTAACGAGGTTTCATGAGGGATTAAGTTCCTATGGTGCAAGAGAGGTGTAAAAACTTACGTTAATTTTAAAAAGCACATTACATTTCCACAAACTGCCATGGTGCAAAAATTATAGATGCGTTGCCATTAACAACTGTTATCACCGAATCCTGTATGGCCATTTTACTAAGTTCATTACTTCTAGCTTTGGCATCCCCACTTAAAATACAATACATTGATTATATACAATTCATGACTGTCCATGCACACAAACACAGATTTTCCCCAATAACTCAATGTAATTGATCTGGAGAAGGGAGCCATAGTTTAAGAGTATTTAAATTGGTCTGCAAAGCACATTCATCTCACTTGTGCACCACCAAAGGAGATGGGGACTGATATTTTTGACATGCAAAATTATGTGGATTTACTACAGTTTATAACGCACTCTATGATATAACAAGAGTATTTTATTCCCAATAAAAATTCTAAAACTCTTAAGTCAGGCTCCCTCAAATAGAAATCAGAAGAGTGGCATAAAACAACACTCTGGAGCACACTTTGATCACATCTTTCCAGTGTTTCTTTGACCTTTACATCAAAAGGAAGGTATTTGTCAACTCTCTTGATTCCAGCAGCTGTAGCATTAAGGAACACACTTAATTTACAGTAAAACCTTGAAACTGACAACACGGGGAGTAAGAATCAGAATCGAGTCAAGACTTCATAGGCCAGAAAGAAACAGAGTAACTGCAGTTGTATGTACTCAGCTTATGGGTAAGCATCAGGAAGTTTCTAATGCACTTCCTTTCTGACTAATGGCCTAGGTAGGTGTGGAGACAACAATCCTCACATAGGATATGTGAGGAGGAGATGGAAGAGAAAGTCCACAGAGAATGTCGGTCATTGGATGCTTCCTGCAGTCTTTCCATAACCAGTTATCCGGAGCCAGTTTAAACAGATCACCATAGGCATTCCTCAGCAAGCAACAGCATTTCTGCTGCTTCCTTCAGACTGGCAGAGGAGTAAGACTTCCCAAAAACATATCCTTTAGAAAAGAGGGAATTAGGCAAACGAGCTCAGTGCTCAATGGGAATTTGGATACCTCGCTGCTGCTGCTTGTGAAAAGCAGACCTCTGAGTAAACCACCAGCGAAATGACAACCACGCTGCAGAAGCCACCAGGCTATTTTTACCAAAGCAGAATATGTTATCTTTTCATTTTGTATAAAGGCAATAAAAATTCATAAGATTCATGCTCTGCATTTAAAGAGAAAAGCTTGGTAATACAGCATTCATACCACGTGTTTTTTAACATTACCATGAATGGTCTACATTCTTCAGTCTTTTGACATGTTCACAGGGATGGTGTTTACACTGACTCGTTCATAGTACATCATATCACATTTTAATGATTCAGTTCGGCTCTGACAAAACGAAACATCTGCCATAATTTTGTCTTTCGTGAACTTTATCACAATTAAAAATCTGACGTTTCACCAGCCTGCGTGCCAACCAAGAAGCACGCCAAGTTCAGCTATTCCTGATACATACAAATGCATGCAGCATCGACAGCTAGTACCAACAGCACCAAGCCATCACTGACTTGTCAGATCCCACCACAAAAGAGAAAAAAGATCACAGTTTGTGGGCAATAATTTCATAATTTTGATCTGGTTTCCATATGACAGAGTGCAAGAGAGAGAAAGCGGGGGGAAGGGGGGAAGGAAAAAAAAGAACGCTTCACAGATCTGTGTGATGACAACATAAGATTTCTATGTCTTGCCCTATTGCAGCCAGAAAAATATTAAAGCAGCATGTCAAAACTGGCATAGCTTCTAAAAAACGATTTTCAAACATCACTTGATGGACGGCACCCTAGCAACTTGATACGAAGCTTAAATCTGCAGCTATTTTACATAAAATGAGGCCAATCCCACCCAATGCAATGACAGTATTCTTGTTTTCAGCTGAATTAATGGTATCTACAAACTCAAGCCACTTCTGAGACACTGCACATATGACAGGAATGCAGCCTAACCATTTAATGCAAAGACCATCAACCTCTTGGACCCTGCTAAGGCCAGGGTAACTATAGTATCTCTATGCAGCTCCCATGACAGTCATTTCAGGGTGGAAGACAAGAACCAGAAACAAAACCAGCAGCATAATGGTACATGCTTCATATGGGGAGCAGCAGGATCTCACTGCGCAGTGGGCTCTGATGCTATTGAGCCCAGGAAGCTGGGAGGGATGGATGTTTCTGAACAGACTCCAGGTCAGAGCTTGGGTCTCCATGAGAGCTGTGTTTTCTAGCACTGCTCCTCCATTTTTTTATTTTTTCTTTTTCTGTACTCCCAGCATACTACTGGATCAGACAAGGTACAACTAAACTTCAAGAGTCTCACAGGAGGACTTCAGGGACTGAGAAAGAAAATGAAAACTGATCCTGTAAACAAAACATACAAGACTGCCCAAATGCATGGCCTAGGAGATGTTTAAGGAGATGCATGGTCTACTAGATACAAGAACAGACTGAGATTCAGTTTTTCTCCCCAGCTCTATCACAACCATACTGGTGATCTAGGAGAAGTCCCTTCAGCTCTCCCTGCCCATCCCACCTCTCCTCTCTCTCAGCACCCTATCAGCACCTATGCAGCGCTTCCACAGGGCACATCCTCACTCACTTAAGTCTTCAAGCACTAGCCTGATAAGCCATTTTTGAAGATGGCATGTAAGCACCTAAATCACAAAGGTGCATTTTCAAAATCTGTGGTGAATGGATGTGTGCCCTTTCTTAATGAGGAAAAGGCTGTCCCCAAGTGTCTGCAATGGCATTTTCCTATGTATGACAGCAAACCCCGAAATTTGTTTGAAGTCTAACCAGACGCATAGGGAACTGGCAGGTAATGTCTCTTACAGTTGGTTGGTTGGTATTTTTGGACAGGAGGTTGCATTTCTTTCTATGTTGCCACTCTGCAACTGTACATCCAACATTGTACTGACTCACCAACAGCATTTTTATGTAGCCCATTAAAGAGATTATACCCTGTTTGGGTGGGGTGAGACTTTCTGGGTAGATCTGGCTGGAGAGGAAGTTTTGAGCGTAAGATACTAGTTCTCAGGGTTACAGAGAAACCATGTTCTCCCGTATGTGCATGCACATGGAGAGCAGAAAAAGTACGTCCACTCCCTCTTGCTTCTCCGTGTCACCTCATTGCGGTGGCAAAACTACTGACGCTTCGAATTTGGCATGGTCGCTATTTTTTAATGAAACCCATGGTTTTCATTAGGGTTAAGGTAAAGGGTTAAAACCAAGTTGTTATGCAGCCTCCAGGGAAAAGGCCATGCTTTCTGCCCAGCCTAGGAAGGGACAGGCAGAGCACACCTTCCAGACTGCCTCTAGGCAGCACAGGATAGACACAGCCTTCGGGAGAATCAAAGGGCAGAGATCTTTCCATCATCACTTTCAGCCTAAGATCAAGGGTCTCTGCTACACTTCTGATCTGTTGAGTTTTATGCCAAAGCTGCACAGAATCGTCCTGAGCCGGGCAAGCACTTTGCAATGTGCATCTGCGATCCCCTGCCACCAAACTCACTTCATGCATTTGTGCAACAATTCCAGAAACAGCCTTGACTGCTCACCCATTAACTGTAGGACATGAGTCAGGTTTGCAATGCTGGCAGACAGGCTATTTTTATCACACTTGGGATGTGCTGTCACAAGGGTAAATCCCAGCTGCAGATTTACCAAAAGCGCTAAGGAGATTTGTCTGGGGTTTCAGGACACCCTGCATCCTGATCTGCATAGCAGCTCAGACCAGGATTTTTGCCATTCAGAAGTCCCAGACAAATGGCTTGTGAGAGCGTGCAGCTTGCCAGGGCGGTGCGTATTCAGTGAGTGTGCCGGGTCTGGGATGTGTCTGACACCGGAGGCACGTGCTGCCCACCTGCACATAGAAGGTACCTCAGCCTCCCCCACACACTGTGCACCAGACTCCACCAAACACCTATGTGCAGACATGCGCCCCCTCTCCCATTTACAGTACCTGGGCACAACCCAGACCACAAGGACCATGCATATAAATTCCCTGTGGCATACGGCAAAGAGCTGGCCACCCTCCCCCTGCCGCTGGGCAGGGCAGTATATACTCCCTGCACATCTCACAACACTCCTATTTCTATAGTCTCAACCAAGTGCAGCCCAAACTTGCATTTACTTCCCTCACAAAGTTTACTATCTACAGCAAGAGCTTCCCGGCCCACCTCTGTTCTCAGGGATCTGATCCCCTGGCTGCGGTAGATGTAGAAAAGGATCTCATGGGTGAAATCTCTGTTAACCCACCACGGATGGCTCATGGATGAAATTTGGTAACTGTTGCCATACAACACTAAGGATGGCAAAGCTGAGTTTCTGCTGATACCTGCCGTATTCCCTGCCTTGGAAGCTGCATGTCATCGTATTAGCACAGTTCTGCTAAATTAATTAGAAAAGGCACACCCTTTCCAGGGCTCATCCTGGTTTTTTAGCCACGACAAGTAACTTTACCTTGCTGTCCTATCTGGTTTCTCTTTTACACACAGAAGACAGGAAGAAGGGAATTACTCAAGCCAAGGTCGTGCATATAAGAAACACGAATCTGTCATACAACCCAAACTGGCTCTCAGCTTGCATCTATCCCTTTTTGGGCAGACAGCTTAGACATTTTGAATTTAAAAGAACTCTGGCATTTTTCCTGCATGTCCTCAGATTTCTAGCTCTGAAAGCTCACACTAAATCTTTTTGTTCACTGTAGGTGTCTTCCTCAAAGCCCGCTTAAAACTGAACACCTCCAAACACTTCCAGGAAGGTGTTTTTTGGCTTTGTTTTGTTTTAACTTTTAGAGGTAAGAGCTGTGATTCCTAGTATTAAAGCATAAAATGTTGAGGGTCTGCTTTTCTGCCTAAAAAAGAAAAAAACTTGCTTTTTTTTTTTTTTTTTAGCACAGCATGAACTTCTGTGGCATAAA